CTCTCACACCTAGTAACAATTTAGAGTTATCAGTTAACCTAACAGTCATGTTTTTGGTCTGTGAAAGGAAGCCGGAGTACCTGGAGAAAACCCACGCATGCACGGAGAGAACATGCAAACTCTACCCAGAAAGGACCCCAGGCTGGGATTTGAACCAGCGACCTTCTTGCTGAGAGGCATCAGCTCTACCAACTGAGCCACCATGCCGCTAGCACATCTCTATTTAATATAATGATGATGATGATGATGATGATGATGATGATGATGATGATGATGATGATGATGATGATGATGATGATGAGTCACACAAATGTCCTGCTACCCAGACCTGCCCGACTGGTAACAGCTTCACAAAGAGTTTCTGTGCTAACAGACTTTCCCAACTGGGAACTATCCTGTGATTTTACCTTAAAGAGAGACAAATATGTGACAAACAGTGTGATGCAGAAATTCAACATTGTTCTGTCAACTAATTTAAATAAGAAAAAGAATCTTTTAAAGCTTACTGGTCACATTAAGAACAATAAATTACTCATCTGTTGTGATGAGCTCTGTCTAAAACTCTGGTGGCAGCAGAGACATGCATTCATTCAAGGAATGCCAGGTGTTTAAATAGTTTACTTTTATGATATATTGTTCATTCATATGTGTTTACAAATACAGGCACTGTGATCATTTTTCTTTAAAAATCAACTTGAAAAAGATGTTGCACTAACTGTACATCTACCACTAGCCATAAAATGCATTGGTTGTGAAAAACAAAAGGATCTTATTTGTTTTATTTATTAAATACAAAACAACACAAAATCATATAAATTGTGATAGTTTTGGAATGTCTAGCAGTGACTATTTCTTAATTTAGCAGTTGCATTTGCAAGAAAAGTAGATATCTGTAACAAGTTTTGCAGCATCTGGCTCAAGACCAGATATCAGAGTACTTACAAAATCCTCCCCAGAGTCTGCGCCCACTGAAGTGATGGATTCCTTGCTGATGGTCCGTGGTATACGCACACCACTCCGAGGAGCTGTGGCCGCCTCTTCTGCAATCTTTTTCTTAAGCTTGGCAAACATATTTCTCCCTCCTGCAGCTCTTACTGAGTGCAATCTACAGTTTCTGGAGAGGTTGAGGTTCTTTCTGATGCCTGGTTCTGAATGGTGAAGCAGAGCAGCGTTCCTGTGCAGTGCTGCTCAAAAAGGGCTTGATGTACTGGATCCATTCTGCTGCATCTAGAAAAAGGAAACATGAGTCTTATTAAAATGCCAAAACCTACAATAGCTACAATGGTAAATGGATTGAACTTATATAGCCCCATGGGGATCCCAATGCGCTTTACACTACAATAATTCACACATCCACACACAGTATTGTTTATTGTACAGTGTTGTATAAAGTACCTCAGAGTGATACTTGAGTAAAAATACAAGTATCTTATCATAAAAATACTTTGGTAAAAGTTAAAGTCTTCTCTAAAAATATTACTTGAGTAAAAGTACAAGTATCTTATCATAAAAATACTTTGGTAAAAGTTAAAGTCTTCTCTAAAAATATTACTTGAGTAAAAGTCTTTAAGTATCCAAATTTTTTTGTACTTAAGTATCAAAAGTAAATTTCTGACACAAAAGCTACTTAAGTATTAAAAGTAAAAGTACTGAGTAAAAGTGAGCAGTTAGATTTTCCAAAATGACATTCATTGGGAGGCGACTTCTCCAAAAAATATTTTTGATGATGGGTTGTGTACAAATTACTAATAGGGTGTCAGAATGGTATATATTTACACTTCTCATCCAACTACAATTAAAATCACTCTATCCAGGAGACACAATTTATCAGGATAGTATTTTTTATGTAATAACAACTCATAATAAAATAGGAGTAACGACTTTCTACTTCTTTACTTTTTAAAAAATGTAGTGAGTAGAACGTACAGATAATTGTGTAAAAATGTAATGAGTAAAAGTAAAAAGTACGCTGAAAAATAATTACTCAAGTAAAGTACAGATAACCAAAATTTCTACTTAAGTACAGTAACAAAGTATTTGTACTTAGTTACTTTACAACTCTGGTATTGTAGCATTGTAGCCACAGCTGCCCTGGGGCACACTGACAGAGGTGGGGCTGCACCGGCACCACCGGACCCTCTGACCACCATCAGCAAAGGTGGGTGAAATGTCTTGCCCAAGGACACGACTGAGACGGCTGGACGGGGGATCGAACCAGCAACCCTCCGGTTACAGGATACGACTCCCCAAACGGCATATAACAAATAACAAGCCCCAAGCGCTTCCCCTCTATTAAAGACATGCCGGTTTTTCGTGTGAATGTATTTACATTCATCACATTGTGACTGTTCAGACCATGATCAAACCACACAGGTCAGTGGTTTTAGAGTCAAACTGTTTCCAGAAGCTGAATGATCATGACAGCCTCCTGAATGAATCTTTTGTTGTGTACACTGCAGCAGACAACACCGGTTGGTTCAATCTATTTTTCAGTGTTAGACAAAATAAACTGAAGCTAATTTCCTGTCTAATTCCAAGCATTGATTATAAAGCATACAAYCCGTAGATAAACTTAAGTTAAACTGGTCTTATAGTGTTGATGAAACTGTTTTCACAACCAGAGTTAGCTCCGGTACCATAACAATGAGAGTCATGTTAGCTCTCGTTAGCTTGTCCGTCCACTAAAGTCGCTCTTCTCTTACCGTACTAACTTCAGTTAAGTATCCTCATGTTCAGTCCTCACGTCTTTAAAAACTGTACGTTTTCTTCTTGTTCACGTTCACTTAAAAAGCGTCAACAGTGACAATCTCTGTGAGAAATAATGAACTCGGTGACAGTCTGTCAAGCTAGCAGCTACACGTCATCACCCCAGCACAGATGACAGCTGACGCCACGACGCAACCTCTGCTGATTGGCCAGAACGTAAAAGAGGTGGAACCATGGCAATAAGCTCGCGCCCTCTACAGGCAAAAGTAGGAAACACACAACCAGAAAGTATGAACTACCAAAACTCCATAACATTTAGTATGTCTCTTAAATGATTATATTGATTTTTTAAAATAATTTTTATTTCTATGTGTTGCTTTTACATTCCTCTGTCTCCTGTATTTACATTTTACATGTCTGCCTCATCATGCAAATAAGGTGGGTCAGCTCCTCAGTTTAAAGTTTATTTTAAAACAAAGGCAAAAGCATAATGAGGCAGAAATGAATAAGGAAATGTAAATACAGGAGACAGAGAAATGTAAAAGCAATACATGGAAATCAAAAAAGACTTGTGGGAAAATTATTTAAAAAAAATTAAATATAACCTTTTAATGCATCTACAAGTAAAAGGAAAACTAAAAATTTATTTTTTATAAACTGTAAAATTTTAATTATTATAAACTATATAATTTAATAGAACTAAGCTGGAAAAACAAATATGATGAAACATGAGGTAAAGTTCTTTTTTAATTTTATTGGTGCATTTTAAGCATATTTATTTATTTAGTGGTCCATTTATATACTTCTGCATTTATTTCTAATTATGCCCATTTCGGTCCTCCACAGCAATTCAGGTGCATCTTTAAAAAAATTAATTTCGTGAAAAAGTTAAATCTTTTGTCAATAATTTCAGATGTGAAACTTATATATTATATATCATTACATCAACAACATATTTCATCATTACACAGAGTAAAATATTTCTTGTCCATCCATCCTCMATATCCACTTCTTCCTTTCGGGGTGCGAGGGGAAGGGTATACCCTGGACAGGTCCCAAGGAATTTTGTAATTTGACGGCGTACAAATAATGAAAAAAAAAAGGCTAAAATGGCTTGAACTTATCAAGTCCACTTGGACCCCAAGGTGCTTTACACTTCTGACATTCACCCATTCACACACTGATGGTAGTAAGCTCCAGCCACAGCTGCCTTGGGGCACACTGGACAGGAAATTGGAACATTGTGAAAACTGTTTGAGGCATTTTTTTGTCCATTTTGTTTTATTGCTCTGTTCTGCTTTTCTTGTAGCATTGGTATTCATTTAAGATGGACCAATAATATAAAAAAAGTCTCAACAAGTATGACTAGTTGGGAAGGGTTGTTTAGGCAGATTCTTATTCATCCAAACAAAACAAGAGACAAATGAGATGAGCAAAATTATTTACAAACTCTGGGGTCTACATTTTATTTATAACCATTTATTGTCACTCTGTAACTGTCTGCCAGAAGGCTGTAAGATTTTTGTGTTTGTGCAGTACTTTTATCTCATATCAAGCTAAATACATCACCAAAACAAAATAAAATGGAACAATCTATACAGCACTGCATGTGCATTTTTCTCAGCAGTGATTCTTTTTTATTGTGAAGGAGAATGAAGATTTATAAATATGGACATTTTACACAGTTCAGCTTTTTGAGTCCTTCAGCACATTGGAGATGCTCAGCAATCTTTCTTTGCTGTTATACTTCAGTGTGATTTAAGCTGCAGAGTAATCACATTAAATGCACAGAAAAGGAATAAAACTCAAGAGTTGGCACCAAAACAATCCGCTGTAAAGACGTTAAATGTAATTTACAAAAACTGGGGTGATGCTGGGCTGTGCCTCTGTATCCTGACAAAGCTATTTCAGCTGTAAGTCGCTCACAAGAAATAAGGTGTTGTCGTTCGTGGAGGGATGACCCTTTCGGAGTCAGGCACTGCTCTGAAGAGTTTTGGCTCCCGTGTGTTGGCGTCTTTGAAGACCATAATGGATGCAATGTTACCACAGCGATAGCAGTAGTTGGGAGCCGACCACACCGTGACCAGCTTCTCATCAAACATGAACTTGTAGCCTTCGTGGACAAGCTGGTGTGCCCTGCAGATGAGCTTCAGGTTGTTGATGTGAACAAACTACAGGAAACACACAAACAAGAATTACATTAAGTACAGGTAGAGCTAATGTAGATGGTGTCATTATAACACATCAGTTAGATATTTATAGTCAACACCATTTCTTTCTGCCACAAAATATCTATACATTTCTTATAYACACTCACATGCATTTGATTTAGAATAAAAAAAGAACAAAGAACAACCTCCATCCTTATTCGCTCGTATGAACAGATAACAGCTCAATTCATTTCAGACATTTCACAGAAAACTGATGAAACTCTTACAACAAAACAAACCAGACGTACAGGAAGAGGCTGGATTTTAAAAAATTCACAAGTTCTATTTTTATTATTATTATTGTTATTATTATTATTATTATTGTTATTATTAGGGGTGTCCCGATCCGATATTGATATCGGATATCGGTCTGATATCAGCCAAAAAACGAGTATCGGATTTTATCGGCCTGCATAAAAAATCTCCGATATAAGCGCTCCGATATTAGCAGTTCAATCCAGCAGTTCACTGACTCCACTCCAGTGTTTCTATCCAGCAGCGCTTGGATCCAGCATGTAGCACTCACGTGATCACAACAACATGCAGCGCTAACAAGTTAGCAAGAATGTCGACAGCAGAACTTTCTATTTTCATCAGAAACAGAGTTG